GCGCTTCTAATTCTTCCGTCTCTATAGTGAGCCGTCTAAGGGATAAGGAATTTGTCTGAAGATCCCTGTATGTGCATTGAGGCAAGCTACTGTGCGACCCCCCTCCCCTCTCCCCCGGCATTCCCTCGAGGGGTACTTCACTATTAATTCAAGCTTACACCAATTTTTCTTTTTCGGACTATCTCTGATTGATTTCTCTTTAATTTTCTGATTTTTTTTTCTGATTTTTTTTTCTGAAACTGGGAAGTCTGGTTTCTATTCATCAAAATACATGGTTGATTGGTTTTGGTAAACATACAACTGTAACAGTGGCTGGTTATAGAGGGGAAAGGGGGGGGGGGTTAATTTATGCATTCCTGCAGTTCACCTACAGAACATGTCTGCTACTGTCCCTTCCTATCTCCACTGCCCTCCCCCTACTTAATTTACCCTTTTGTGTGATGCCATATGAAGCATGATGCTCCCATCTCATTCAATTCCATTTATTTTTTAAGGTGAAATTCTATTGGATTGCCTCTGGTTGAAGTGAAATTAAATACCCTAATATTTAATTTAATTTCAAAATACACTTAAACTTCTCTCCTACGACAAGTATAACTTGTCGCTCTTTCATTCATTTTTATCAGATCTCTCTGAGGTATTTAAAGGATCACGAGTCGCTGAAGTATATTTCATTGAAAGTTCTATTATGTATTGGATCAAAGAGTTTAATTTCAATGCTCCTACCATTTTATTGAATATCATTAAACATAATGTGACTGCAGACAAAGCTATTCAATTTAAGAAAATGGTATACTTTGTTCTGATTTCGATGGGCCTATCCTACTTGAGTTTGCGATACTGGCTATAATATTGTTCGGTCCTTTGCAAGTCCATGGCTATCGTGAAAATAAGTTGTGCGTTTAAAAATCGTTTTGACAAGTCCTATTGAAAGATTAGGTGACTTCCAATCATTCTACAAGTAAACACCATTCCATTTTGTTAAAATAACAAAATTGAAAAGTAGGATTTTTTTGGAAATTACAAAATTAAAAGTGTTATACAAGACTTGGATTCCTTTTTCAGAATTAAAAAAGGAAATGTCTTTTGCTCAAAGCCGATCAGAGTCAAAATGGCAAAGTTATTAGCCTCCAAAGGGGTAAATGTATGCAAAAACGACCAAATTGTCAATTTGGGGGGCAATAACTCTGCCATTTCGATTCCGATCGTCTTGGAGCATAAAAGATTTTCGTTTTCTTTTGTCGAGATGAACTCGAAACAATAGATACCTTTTTACATTTCTCCCGAACCACTACCCCCTCCCCCCCTCCAACTTACGTAAGTAAACACGTAAACCATTCAAAATATCACTTTCGGTGCTTCTCACCGGACACTCGCGAAACTTCGTAGATCCAGTTCCGCAACTCTAAAACTAAAAGTAACACACTCGGTTTGACAATCTGACAATTTAATCAATTGTGAGAGGGTATCAAAGTCGCGAAGTGAGCGCCGCAGCCGTTGGCGCTTTTCATACCCACTCAAGTGCACTGCTGCCAACATTCCAACGAGCTGTGCGCGAATTCAAATAGAACGATTGAATATTTCAAAGCTGACCAATGCATGCAATAATG